TTCTCTTCAATTGGACTACTGGACCAGATATTTTGTAGGCTGGAGCCAATTCTAAGGTGTCTAAATTATTCTTTTCGTCTCAGCTTTATTAAATAGAGTGGTCCAGTGTACTTTTCCAGGCACCTGTTGCAGAACTGGTACCAGAAATGGTACCCACCCCAAATTTCGTTTTCCATGGATTCTCTCTCCATGACAAGTGGTCATTTTTTGAGAGTCAAACTTTCATGTGGACTCTGATAGGATCATAGGTTGCATAAACTTTAGAGTATACCATTTCTCAAAGTATTAGTAGCAAGTATAACATCTTGTCCTAACACAAATGATTTAAAAGTTTACTTTTTTTGATTTCTTGCTGAAAATTGTTCTTAGTCGATTGTGACAGCATGCCCATGTGTCGTGGCCCTTTTTTTGATTTAGGGGGTGTTTGGTTCAGCTTTGGGAAGGGGCTTTCGGTGGGGAAATGCTGAATCGTTTGGCAAGCATTCCCAACGGGCTTTCGGCCGGAAGTCAGCATTTGCCAAATGCTAAATCCAATTTTTTTCCCCCAAATTACCCTCACTTATTCTGGCTTATTCCGGTTTTGCCCCTCTTATTACTATTCATCTTTTGCGTGAGGGTGGCCGGCGAGGGAGGGTGGCTGACACCGGATTGGGCCAGCAAGGTTGCACAACCCAGGCCGGCGGTGCCTGGGTGGTCGCGCGACCCTCGTTGAGGGTCGCCCAGCCTTGGGCGACGGCTGGCGGTGGCAGATCTGGCTCACCAGGGGTTGCCTGACCTTGGGCAACAGCTGCCGGCGCCAGATCTAGCTCGCCGGCGGCCATAGCCCTTCACCGGCTCCGGCAAAGGGTAGGGTACGTTTTTTTTTTTAATGAAAAAGAAAATTCCCAACACTACTTGGGCCAAAGTAGCTTCACAAAGGATGTTTTACCAAATGCCGTTTTAGTTTCTCCTTTGCTATTTATGTCAGTAAGTTTTGGAGTTCAAGGGGCATTTTCACCATGAACCTGGAATTTTTTTGTTTATGTCATTAGCAGGATGTGACTCATGCCACCAACATCCAATTGCTTCTTGTGGCAGCATTTAAATGCGCCTCGTTTGTAAATTCACCACCAATCCCACTATTTCATATTATTAACACCTTTTCTTGGGGGTGGGGGTGGGGTTGGTTTTATTGTGGGTGTGGGGTTTGGTGTTGGGAAAATTATGGATGGGATCTTGAAAGAGTAACGCTAGACCTTCAGCCTTCATGGAGAGAAAGGGCTGTTCTATTGTTCACCATTGTATGTGAAATGCGATATATGATTATTGGTGCATAGTGTTTCTCTTTTGGTCCTGAAAGGGTCATTGATGTATTAACATTCAAGTTATTTGGCTGTCTAATATGTGTGCTGAAGCGGTTTTTTTAAGACCAGCACATTCACTTGATTTACTTGTATAAATGGGGAACACTTTATTTTCAGGTCAATCATGAAGCACGGAATGTTCAGGTTTTAACATTTGGACAACCTCGTATTGGCAATGCAGTGTTTGCGTCTTACTACAGTGACCGCGTGCCAAATACGATACGTATTACTAATGGACATGATATTGTGCCTCATTTGCCTCCGTACTATTCTCGGTTCCCACAGAAGACTTACCATCACTTCCCTAGAGAGGTAAGGCTTTGATCATATAAATTACGGGGAATTGTGGCTGACTGAATTTGACGTTTGCTTTGCATTTCTTTCAACCTATCTTCCTGGTGAAGTCTCATTTATTCCAACAATGTATTTACTCTCTTTTTTCAACGTATGAAATATAACTGTCTTGTTTTTATCTTCTTAGCAAAGCAGGATAGTTTGTAGTACTCTTGACTTTTCAGAAATGTTTGAGTAACTCTCATTCCTGCACGAGCCATCATTAGTTTTTTCATACCAATTCCAAAGTTTAAGACGCATCATAGTGTCTGCTATATACTCTTTCTCTCTCTTCGATGGCTGATAAGCTAGTCTTAACCGCTCTCTCTCTCTCTCTCTCTCTCTCTCTCTCTCTCTGTGATGGCTGTCTTAACCTAGTCTTAGGCGTCTGAGGCTCTGTGCAATTATACGCATTTTCATTATTGTATGTCAACATCCACTAATGCTTATAATTATTGGCGACTAGCTCAATGACAGCTACGGATAAACATATTGATGTGAGATAATGTGAAAATGATCTGATTCCACCAGCTTCTGTGGTGACTAATCATAATCTTTTCTATGTCAGTGTTCACATGTAATTAGAATGTTCCCTTTGTTGTAGGTATGGCTATATAATATAGGATTTGGTAGTCTGGTTTATCAGGTTGAGAAAGTTTGTGATAGCTCTGGAGAAGATCCATCATGCAGCAGGTAATGATGTTGTTTCAGTCGTAGCTACTTGTTCTAGCAATTTGTTTGTGGATTTGTCATGCTAGACGCAACAAGTCGTGTGACAGACCAGCTTGTTCTAGAGAATGTTGGTCCTTTGTTGCCCGGAATATATGTGGACAACTGATGAGAGTGCGTCTCTGCAGATCGGTAACTGGTAACAGCCTTACGGACCATTTAGTTTACTATGGTGTGGGATTAATGGCTGAGACATGGGGATCGTGCAAAATCGTCATGGACGCACGATTGAAGGAATATGGAGGTGAAGATGTCAAAGGAAATCTTATTGTTTCCAGGAATCTTTCTGCTTCTGCATTGAGGCTACCTTCAGACTCTGATGCCAAGAGCAACTTTAGTTAAAATGCTCGTGGGTCAACACCTTTTTCCTCAAAGATCATCAGTGACCGCTGTGATGACGGTTATGAAATGCATTCCATCGATCTGTTGTCCATATCCATCACAAGCATAAGAGCTCTACTCAAATTCACTCTGAATGTAAATAGCACAAAGTTGAATGTGTCATCCTTGTAAATACAACTCCGTGACCTTACCTTTTGCTATAGGGACATTGTCACAATAGACTTCTTGGCACAAGTACTTCAACTCTTTCCTGGCAGGGGGTTATGATCAAGCCATCTTGGAAATCGATGATGACCTCGTCCCGCATCAGTTCCACTGGCAACCTTTGCTAAATCTCAACTTTTAGGAGGTAAACGGCTTATATCATCTTGGCTTTGACTTGTAACACTGATCTGCCTTTGGAACGAGAGTTGTAAGCTTTTACCTTCTTTTTTCCGATATATAAGAATTAACATTAGTGGAACGGGGGTTCCCTAGGTTACCAAAAAAAAAAAAAACATTAGTGGAAACCTGAAAAACTAAATTTCCTTTGTCATTTTAACGGATATATTGCTCATCATGACCATTCAAAGCACAATGTGCAAGAGACCAACTAATTCCTTGACAACATATGATAAGATAAGAGTTTGTACATTATGAGAAAAATCAAAGTACAACATCAAAGCGTTGGAAAAGGTATATTAACTGAGTTAGCCACAGGCACAACTAACCTGCACAAAAAGACCCTGTAAATTTTTCTTACTTGTTACTGAGAGAAAAAGCTTAGACGGTCATATAGGACCTTTGTCGGGAGCGGCTCTCCTTATCAATGTTGAAACCTAAAGCTCCATCCCTAGGATAACCAAAAGGCGAATGGCAGAGCTTCTATTACCGATTAAAGGCTATACATTTGAAAATATCCTTCATTGTTTAAGGTGTAACAAAGTTAATATTTACAAGGCATGGATATCAGCTTCAAATTTAAAGTACAACCCAATAAGTTCCGATGATCTCACATAAAAGACCAACATGTAAATTGACAAAATTAATGCACTTGACTATGGTAAACTGGCATCAATTTGACTCGTCTTTTACTGAAAACTTAATTCGCCAACCAAAACCATCAACAGGAAATATATCTAAACCAAATCGAACTCATGAAATAGATCAAAAGAAACCATCGTCCCATTTCATGAGCAGTTTATAGCCATCCATCTTAAAGGTAGAAAGTGGTCGCAAAAACGGCCATCAATTAACTGTACAAGTGTACAAGTTTCAAGTCAATTTGGCAAATTATGATTCTAATTTAGTATAAAGAATACAATTCCGGGAAAGACAATAACGAATATCTGCTAGAATGACGTAGGGCAATAAGCAATTTGCTTAAGTTTCCAAGCTTCCTTGACAACAAATCTGGTTGTAAGTGCAAGACCTTTCAAGAAACGCATGCACTTCTTATTGGAAAATGCACTCCCCCGTAGAGCATGTCTTCTCAATTTTTCAAGAAATGGCCGAATCTCCTAAGCAATGCCAGGCCCCGCATCATTTGAACCTCTTCAAGTTAAAACAGTCAGGTCTCACGCATGTTATCCCCTCTCTGCAAAGTGTTTCTACTCAATCAACTTACATTAAGGATGGCAGGGCCTTCAATCAACAATTCTTCCAGAGATTCTGGTAGTTTGCGACAAGCAAAGTCCACATTACTACAATAATCTAGTGTAACTAACTTCTACTTCTGCCAATGAGTCGGATTAGGGAAACTCTCTCCCTTTTTCAAGATTGAAGAGCTTCGGAATTGGTAGATACTCCAAACAGTCAAGGCCTTGAATCTCTAATGCTGTAGAGTTCTCTATTCTTAGTTCTGACAGTCTCTTCAAATTTGAGAGATGCATTGCTATTCTCATCCACTGGCAAGATTCAACACATAAATAAGATAAACTTCGAGGGAAGCCTTGGGAGGCACAACAAATTAGCACATCAGTGTTCTAGTCTTTTGAGTTGAAAAAGCTGACCAATATCTATTGATAAGGCGGTTACAACAGTAGACATATAAGGTGGTTACAACAGCAGATGACAATGTTAAAGACTCCAATTTATTTAATCTCAAAATGTACCGTGGCATAGTATCTTCCACAAGTTGACAATTGTCTATGGGGTAAGCATCTGGTCGAATGGCCAGATACAAATTATTTAAACTTGTAAGGTTTGAGAAACCTGGAAATATCGTCGTCGATGTATTAATGTGCAAACTAACGAGACTTTCTGGAAGCTTTGGTACTTGGTATGTTTCAGTCAGTGTCAATTTTAGGATCCTCAAAGACGAATTTTTGCAAATGTCATTTGGAATTTCCAGTCGCAAGCTTTCACCATGTGCTGCGTCTGTTTCTTCTAGCTTTTACAACAACCATAAGGCACTAGGTATCTTTCCAATAAAACAATTGTTCATCCTCACTACTTTCAAACTTTTCATGTTTCCTATTGAGTCAGGTAGCTCTTTAATGCACGCTTAGGAAATATCGAACTCAAGTAGTGATCGCAGATTGCCAATCGAGTCTGGAAGCCTCTCTATACATTCACATTCTTTTGAGGACAAGTATTCAAGGATTGTAAGAGCTCCAATCAACATGGGAAGTTGTGTAATTATGGTGCTTTTGAAAGATAGCCTCGATAGAGATGTCAAGTGACCAATGGAAGAGATTATCTTCAATAATGAACATTGTGAAGCACTAAGAATTTTGAGATCCTTCAGCACTTGATATTTAGCGTTGAAGAATTCAGTAATACCTGAACATCATAGATATTTCCCCGAGCGCATTCAATTGTTTCGTCTGGTCAACATCATCAAAAAGGAAGAGAACTCTTTTACTAGATAGCCTACCTTTAATTGTCTTGATCCCTTCATCAACATTACTTATTTTAGTCAATTTCCATTTATGGACACCGGAGATGAGTTGATTCTACAAGCACTGAATGCCCTTGAGCTCTGAAGTATCATGATTGTTAGAAACAAAGCAACAGTGCTCAAAACCATGTGAAAACTGATTGTAGGTAATTTTGGCGAGAGTCGGCTTTATGACACCGCCCATTCAATTGAATTCCAACAATTCGTGTTTCCTGCTTTGTGAGCGCCTATCATACTCATAAGTAAGACTACCTTGAACACCATTTTCACATCAAAAGGTCCATGAATTGGTTTTGGCAGGCGCAACTAAGACTGCTGTGAACACCTCTTTAAGCGCACACAATTTTTCTCAACGTGCCCTGCTAGTGTTTCCTCGTAAAGGAATATTTGGGTACCGATAAGCAATTTCTATTGCCTGTCAATGAAGAGAACACATACAAATGAAGAGCAACATTCATTCTTATGGCCCTACAAAATGGATTAATAAACAATTAGGTTTGCTTAAATAGCCCTTTTAACCCCAAAAACATTACGTGCGATGCCCCAAATTGCACAATGAATCCCTCTGCCCCGCTCTAATGATTTATCCAGAAAAAAGGGCCAAACATTCAACTAAAACTTCAAACCGAGTTTAACAGATTTAACAATTTCATCAATAGGCAACGACTTCCGTCACTAATATTCAAGTTTCTGTCTCTCAACAGATGAATACCACCCCAAGATTGTGAAAGGGAATTTAGTTGACATTATATGTCATCCTCATTTTCCTTTATTTTGTCTTCATATGTATAGCTGCCCCATTAGCCGCAGCTCCCTGCATAGAAAGCTCTCTGTAAGTTTCTCAAACTCTAATTTCTTTCAACAACATTAGAAACCGGCAAAAAAGCAGGTTGTTGAGATGTCTCCCTTAGCACTTTCTGTCAATCTTAAACCCTAAAAGAGTGCTCTAGTACAGCTTGAGGTGAATGAAAGGGCTTCTATTACAGAGAATCACCCAGGTACAACCATTTCTAGAAGATGTAGGTGATAATGGAGTTCACACAAGAATCCATTCACATGATTTCTGACCCCAATGAGACTTATCATATGTCCTACGCACCAGTAATACTGAAATATTAGCCTTTGACTATAAGGTGATTTATGATACCTCGGAGAAGCTGAGTAGTTCCTCTATCCTGTCACAGATGGAAGTTTTTCTGGGCAAACTACTGATGCCGCTACCCAAGTGAAATTCGTCTTTCTTCATTTTATAACTTCTCCCTAACATTTGCAAATCTCAATAAGAAGCATACCTATTCTGGACAATAAACTGAACATAAGCATATCAATATAGAATGTCTGTCTTCTTCACAGTTGCGATGATGAGTTGATTATGCCGTAAAGTTCCAGGATGAGAACCATAGTTATATGACCTTCCAGCACACATTCCATCTAATTGTTTACAGCATAACAAAGTTATCTCCAAAGCAAAGCGAGGCCATCAACTTCGAAATATATGAAGCAGCAAATCAAGAAGGATCTCTAACAATTTGTCACATATCAAATAAAAACTATGCAATCGAGATGCATACCTCCAGCTGGGAAACATAAAAGCAACGAGAAACCATCCCAATAATATATAGCCAAAACAGCCAAACCAAACAAGGAAAAGAGAATGAATATTTGAACATAATTAAGAACCTTCTGGTTGTACGGATGTATCACAATTTTAATACCTTCATCAGATTTTCAGTCATCAACTCGTGAAAAGAAAATTAAAAAAGTGCATGTGAAGCTTTTCTGTTCATATCTGTGAAAGAATTTGATTGCAGAAAAGGGAAAACAATTATTTGTCAGATGAAATAGGTTACCTCAAGTTGTTTAAAGTTTGAACATGAGGGAACAATTTGTGGTCGTGGATCAAGAAGATTTCAAGAGCAACGTGTACTTATTCCTCGTCTTCTCCCCGAGATTCAGATTCGTCGTCTTCTCCCTCATCTTCAGATTCAGATTCGGCATCATCTCCCTCAGATTCAGATTCGTCGTCCTCTCCCTCATCTTCAGATTCAGATTCGGCATCATCTCCCTCCACATCTAATTTCTTGCACCCCTCTATTTCAACCTTTCGCAGTCCCTTCAAGCTCGATAGATCAGGCAACTTCCGTAAAGATTTACAGTAATGAATCTTCAATTTTTCCAAAGATTGTGGTAGTTCGCCTTGAATCTCAGCCAGACTATAACAATAACTTATGCGAACCTCTCGCAACCCCTTCAAGCTCGACAGATCAAGCAACTTCCGTAAAGATTCACAGGAATAAATCTCTAATATTTCCAAAGATTGTGGTAGTTCGCCTTGAATCTCAGCCAGATTAGAACAACGCCATACACAAAGACTCATCAGTTTGTTTAAATTGCTTAGATCAGGTAGTATCTTCACGTGTCCAAGCCTCTCAAGCTTCATATCTGTTAGGTCCTCCAGACAACCAAGGCCTGGAACCTCTGCAATTGCAGCGCCCGAAATGCGGAGAGATGATAGATTCTTCAAATTCGATAGATCCTCCATCGAGCAAAGTGAGTCGCAATCTTCCAAACGTAAAGAGGATAAACTTGGGGGAAGCCTCGGGAGGTGACGCAGTTTAGGTCTCCAAAGTACGAGTGACTTGAGTTGAGGAGGGAGGCTTAGGTCTGTTGGTGAGGCGGTCTCACGATCAAAGCACAGGGCCAGAGACTCCAGATTGCTCAAGTTCCCCATCCGCCGTGGTATCGGATCTTCCACGGGCCCATATGATTTCCCATCATAATCATGTCCGCTAAATCCCAGATCCAGTTCCTTTAAATTAGTGAGGTTTGAGAGATCTGGAAACGTGTCCATGCACAACTCCCGCAGCTGTAAATCGATGAGACTTTCGGGAAGCCTCGGTGGAAGCGCGCATATATCCGCATCCTCCAATCTCAAGATCCTCAAGGATTGATTTATGGAGATGCAATTGCCAATATTCACATGGCAACGCTCACGAGCAGACACATGTATTTCTTCGAGCTTCTCAATCGTCCAAAAGACATCGGGTATTTTGCTTATGTCACTATACTCCATCTTCACTACTTTCAAATTTTTCAATTTTCCGATGGAATCGGGTAGTTCTTTGATCAGTGTGAAGGATATATCCAACTCAATCAACGATTCCAAATTCCCGATAGTATCTGGAAGCCTCTCCAACCATCGGCAACCACACAGAGATAGGTATTCAAGGCTTGCAAGATCTCCACCCATCTCGTCTGGCAGCCTCTGAAGATTCTCACAATCGCTTACATCTAAGGAAACTAGGCTTTTCAAATGACAAATCGACCTATCAATTTCAGTTAATGATTCACAGCTCGATAAGATCAATCGTTCTAAATTTGAATGGGCAGAGAAGTTGGGGGTTCTCTTCAAGCATTGGCAATCGGATATGTCCAGCTCAATCAGCGATTTCAAATTTCCTATCGTATCCGGAAGCCTCTCCAACGATTCGCAACCACTCAGAGATAGGTATTTAAGGCTTGCAAGATCTCCACCTAGCTCATCTGGTAGACTCTGAAGATTCTCACAATTCCTTACATCTAAGGAAACTAAGCGTTTCAACTGACAAATCGATCTATCAATTTCGGTCAATGATGCACAACCCTCTAAGATCAATCGGTCTAAATTTGAATGGGCAGAGAAGTTGGGGGTTCTCTTCAAGTGTCGGCAATAGGACAGATCCAGAACTTTCAAATTCTTCATCACCTGTGAAAAGAAAAACCATGCAAAGATTATTTTTGAATCTCATAAGAGGGAATAATAAGTGTTGTCTAGCACATAACATACCTCCATCTGGCTCCACCCCTGCCAATCATGCGTAATCTTACTCCGAGATAGATCAAGAATAGCCACATTCTCCATGGAGAAATTTGCAATCTTAAATGTTGGGGGAATACCGTGCCAAGAAAGCCAACGTAATTGTGGAAGGAGATCTGAATTCTCATTAGCTGAAGGAACATTTGATGTCGATTCGTGCCAAAGAAGCCTCTCTTCTGCACAGAAATTTTCCATCGAACCGCCCACTTCAAGGAACCTTAAATATGATAGGCTCTCAAAGCCCTTATAGGTAAAGCGATACTGCCACTGATTGTCCAACTTGAGACATAAAGCTTCAACTTCTGTTTTCCCCTGCCCAAAGGGAAATTTTAACACAAAAAAGTTGAAGGGAAACACATTAATTCAAGTCCACTATATTTAGTGCTTGAAGTTCACTACTATCATTCCTGTAATCTTAAAAGAGCAAAAATAGAGGTTGAGGAAGTCGTAATGTTGCTAAACAACACAAAAAGTAACTGGCTTTTTATTATTTGAAAAAAAATCCATAAATACTAGGAATTTTATAGGGGGTATTTTACCTTACGTATCCTCAGCAAATCTGATGCTTCTTTAGGATCCCACACCCTACTTTGCTTCTCTATTTTCATCTCACTTTTTTGATGAACAATATCTCTTCCAAGGTCTCTGAGTTGGTCGTGCATCCACACTTCATTATCCTTTATAATCTTAATCAAAGACATGTTCTGCAAAACTTGCATGGCTTCTTCCGGATATTTAGATTCATCCCAGAAATGAATCAAAATGTCTTTGTCATATCCAATGAGAAAACAAGCTATATCAAGGAATATATGCTGTTGCTGAACATCTAATGCATCATAGCTTATTTTTAACTTACTCCGAACTGTTGCATGAGGAACATTTTCCAACTTCTTCAAAATGAGATTCCACTTTTCCTTTTTAGTGCCACATAATAATGAACCTATCACCTCAAGAGTAAGCGGAAGACCTCCAGCAATGTCTATCGCCCTTTTGGATTGGTCGATATGCTCGTCTAAAGGAGAATCTCTTCTGAAGGCGTGTTTGCTAAATAGTCGAAGAGATTGATCGTTATCCATACAGCTAAGCTCATATTTGCAGTTCACTTCAGGAATCTCAAGAATATCTTCGTTTCTTGTAGTAAGAATAACTTTGCTCCCTTTGCCTAACCAATCACGCTTGCCTACAAATGCTTTAATATGATTCCGTTCTTCCACATCATCGAGAAGAAGGAGGACTTGTTTATTCAACAACCTGTCTTTAATTGTCTGAGTTCCTTCATCAACGTCTTTTATATCCATGCATTCGGTTTTGAGGATTTTAGAGATGAGCTGATTCTGCAAGTGTTGAATGCCATATTTTTTTGACATTTCTCGAATATCACTAAGAAAGCAACAATTCTCAAAATTGTGTGAAAGCTTATTGAAGATGATTTTGGCAATAGTCGTCTTTCCGATGCCACCCATCCCGTGGATTCCTATAATCTGTGTTTCACTTGTCCCAGCACCTATTATTTTCATGATTTCATCCACTTGGTTATCGTCACTGACCAAGTAGTCTGATACTGGCAGAGAAGCCTTTTTCAACTCATTGAAAACCTTCTGCGTGAATGTTTGCACGAACTTACCTTCTCGCCTGGTGTTTGTTTGAGGTCAAAAGGCAATGAGTTAGAAAACTGAGTTGAAACAAACTAAGTTTTGACAAGACCAAATTAAAAACTACTGACCAATTCTAAATCCTTTCTTCAACGATTTATTCCATTTAGATGAATTAGCAGTGGCACTTAGGGTTAATGAATGACCTAAACTAACAAAAAATGTTGCTGGGAATGAAATGGGACAAAAAATGAGATTGTGCCATTATTTAGTGTGATTTTACGGTATAACTTCAATTGCACACAATTTAATACACAAATTTAGAAAAGAAACCAATTAAAATGCATTGAGTTTAACGATACAAGGCACATGAGACGGAATGCTAAAAGCAGTCACCTGTTGGGCATGCTTTGCAGGTCGTGTCCGTTTATTTCCCCAACTGCACGGAGAGCAGCCCTCCAGTCTCCGATAGTCTTTTGGTCATATCGCTTCTTGCTTTCATGTGAAAGAAAGGCCTTTTCATAATCCCCAGTTTGGTGCCGAACCTCTGCAGGCGCAACATCATAAAAAATAGGGATGATCTTTTGTCCCCCATTATTCTTGCACTCGACCATTTGGACTACCTCCTTGAGACACCATACACTAGAGGCATAATCTTTCGAAAAGATAGGGATTAAGATCTTCGACTGCTTAATTGCATGGAGAAGTTCAGGGGCAAACTCTTCTCCTTTGCGGAGATCTTCGTCGTCCTTAAATGTGCGGATTCCTGCATCTTTAAGTCTAGTGTAAAGGTGGTCGGTAAAACCTGCTCGAGTATCTGATCCTCTGAAGCTCAAGAATACTTCATAGTCATATCCTAATGGAGGAGGCATTTCAGGTACTTCTGTTGAAGTGTGAGTACCAGAATCGCCTCCTGCTGTTCCATCGTTTGCAGCTGCATCCTTATTTGCTCCTGATGAAGTAGGCATTTCAGGTACTTCTGTTGAAGTGTGAGTGCCAGAATTGCCTCCTGCTGTTCCATCGTTTGCAGCTGCATCCTTATTTGTTCCTGATGAAGTAGCCACTTCAGGTACTTCTGTTGAAGTGTGAGTGCCAGAATCGCCTCCTGCTGTTCCATCGTTTGCAGCTGCATTGTTATTTGCCTCCCCTCCCTCGATCTCCTTCGATCTTCTCTTCAAGAAAAAAATGAACAGCATAGCAGCAAAAACAGGGGCCGCAAGAGATGAAAAAAGTTCGGAAGCCACCATGATCACAAGTGAGTACGAGAATTACAAATGGAGATCTCTGTGGGTCACTAAACGTAGAAGACAGGATAGGCTAGATATGCAGAGAGTTGAGGGCCAGTTTGCTAGAATTGGTCAATAAGAACGTTTCATTACAGCCTGTCAAAGTTGACGAATGCAGGTTTTTTCAAAACCAAAGTGGCCCCTCCCATCTCAATTCTTCTCTTTTATCTCCACCGTCATGAAGCAATTTAAAAAAAGAAAAATACAATTGCGGGGTAAATAATTGCACATAATTGTAGTGTCACTTTTGGGGTTGGGGTGACGAGTCGGGGCTATTTTGGGGAAAACAGCCCCCTCCCCCGTCTGGTCATGTGAGTTGTTGTTCCTATGCCGGATCGCGTAGATTTTCTTCGACGTTTTTGGCTCCCTACACACGCACACACCCACCAATTTAACATTACTTGTAAATAACCCGGATTTATTTTGTTAAACTTCAAATGACGAAAAGCCCATGCTTATAGAGTAAAAGCGCACATCTTTTATATCAACATCAATGAAAAAAAAAGACCAGATATTGCTAACAATTGTAATTACGATGCCATTAAGCAAAACCCGTTAAGCGAAACGGTGAAAGCATGTCATTTTACAAATTATCATTGAAAATCCCTAGAAATCATTGAATTCGTGTGATGGAATCATTCATCAGATACTGCTGGCCAAAAGAAAAAAAATCATCTATCAAACGGTGGCCACTGATCAATCAACTATGGAAGTAATTAACCCAACGGGGACCCCAACGATCATTCATGGCGAAACGGTCCCGCGAAAATCCGAGGAAAATCTTGTGCCTTTGCGTTGTCGTCAAGACTTTAGTCAAAAAAAGCCCGCAAGGCAAAAAAAAAAAGAACAACATGAGGATGCATTTCGGTGGCAAGAAATCATTCACTATTGCTCCTTCCTATTTTGCCCCTTCTTTTCCCAAGGAATTCCTTTTCATAGTGTCTTCTTAACCGGGGGTACTAGACCGACACGTCAGTTAAAAAGATAATGTGCAAAGCACAGGTTGACCTAGAAGGAGCGTTATGCAATGCTTCACCTCGTCACCTCAAGTGCGGCCAACCGAATATGACATGGTGTTTACCTTAGCCACTCAAGGCCCCCATAAGTTTCCTCCGAATATTTGTCTTCCCCGGAGAAAGGGAATACGGAGAAAACTTACATGGAGATCCCTCCACCATTGAGATCGTTTTTACCAACTTCGCTTTTGTTCAAACAATTCTAGAAATCGTGCGAAAGCTGATTGTTGATGATTTTGGCAATAGTCGTCTTTCCGATGCCACCCATCCCATAAATTCCGATAATCTGTGTTTTACTTGTTTGAGCACCCATCGTTTCCATGATTTTATCTACCTGGTGATCGACACTGATCAAGCAGTCCAACACTTCCGGATAAACCTTTTATAACTCATTTTAAGAAAAGTGGTATGGAAGAGATTCTTGCTTTGCTTTTGTCCTTTTTCACTATGCTCTTGAGACCTTAACATTCATCCGTCCAACTTCTTTTTAGCCCTTCACTTTTGTTCCTCTCCTTTTCGAGACAAGATAGAATATGAAGGGATATGATTGTTCGCTTAGGATCTCTTCATTGGAATCAATGATATGGTCTACTGACATTCAAATCTGACTTCTATCAATGACGTTAGCTTGCAAACACTTGTACAATTTTATTCCGAAGGGTAATACTTTCCCAAAAAAAGAAAAAAAAGATGGAATTGTCCCTCACGTTCTTCCTCCTTTATTTAACTTGGGGTTAGTTTGTTTGATGAAGGATCATTTTTGGGAAATTGTTTTCCGTACTTTCTAGTGTTTGAATTACATAAAACTATTCGATCGATGGGAAACGTTTACCATGGGCTAAAAAAAATAAGCTTAGAGAAAATGACTTGACAAGAAGGAATCGTTTTCCCAGATTTCTATCATAATTTCTTTGTAATCGTTGTTATTTTAATGGACTACAAATTAAACAAAGACGATATCGATTCGAGTTTATTAATCATTACATGTTACTTTTAACGATATAAACTGCCCTTAGTGAGATTTTCGACTTGTTTTTACCACAATCAAATTCTTCTGGTTTACTTTCTCTAAAATTGAATTTCCTAAAAGCATTTTCCAGCAACAAAAAAATTCTCAGGGAGACAAACGCACCTTAAGAGTTTGTTTTTATATGACTTTCGATTTTCATATGATAGAATTTGATCGAAGGAAATCGCAAGATGAAATTATCGATGAACATGAAAATTGGAGATGGATTTGTTGATGTGTGATTTTTACGGGTGAATGAGACAATAAATGAATCAGTGTTGGATTTGATAGAGTGATCTAGTTACATTTTTTTTTTTATCTTTTTGATGAAATCTCTTCGTTTATGGAAGCTTGACTATGAGACACGAATTGCCAAATAAAATGAATCATCGGTGTGATTCTTCTTCTTCCTTTTTTTTTTGTTTTTGTTTTTGGTCGATGTGTGATTCCTTCTTGAGCAAAGCTGGCTCATCATGGACTATTCGAAGTCCAAGTCTTCGTTAGACAAGGGGCCAAGGTAGAAACTCTGAAATTGTCTACTGAACTTATTCATCAAATCTATGGTATAAACATCTTGTTGCAATATCTAAATTAACTTGATACAATTGAAAGGTCAGGACTTAAGATTTCATGTCAACTTAATACAAAACTGAAAATTTATATTCTCCGTGATAAAGTCGAAAGTTCAAGACATTTTTAATAGCAATTTGGAAAGTTCGAGATTCTCTAGATCTAGAAAATTCAGTTTTTCCAATTAAACCTTCTTTAAAAGAAAATGAGAACCGTTTGTATTTTCACACTTGTATAGTATCTATTTTCATAAATCCATTCATTCACTTGCTAAAATGATTTGATCAATATCACTTAATATATCAATTTCAGTATACTTATTAACATAACTTGTAAATAACCCGGATTTATTTTGTTAACCTTCAAATGACGAAGAGCGCGTGCTTATTGAGTAAAGTGCACATCTTTTTTAACAACATTGATGAAAAAAAAGATCACATATTGCTAGCAATCGTAATTAAATTTCTATTAAGTAAAAACCGTCATGTGAAACGGTGAACGTGTGTTATTTTACAGATTATCATTGAAAATCCCCAGAATTATTGAATTTGTGTTATGGAATCATTCATCAGATGCTGCTGGCCAAAAAAAGGAAATCATCTAATCAAATGGGGGCCGCCTATCAATCAACTATCGAAGTAATTAACCCGCCGGGGACCTCAACCGTCATTCACAGCGAAACGGCTCAAGAGAATCCGAGGAAAATCTTGTTAAAAGAGCAAAGTGATAATAATGGAAAGATCTAAAGCAAAGAAAAGGAAGATGGGTCATGCTAGTGTGGAAAAGAAAACCCACCAACGCTTTTTAGCGTGCGCCTCTTGCGTCGTCGGTAGGACTTTAGTCAAAAGTAGCCCACAAGGCAAAAGGAGAAGAAAAACAACAACAACATGAGGATGCATTTCGGTGGCAAAAAATCATTCACTGTTGCTCCTTCCTGTTTTGCCCCTACTTGTCCCGAGGAATTCCTTTTCATAGTTATATTCACGGGAAATCGTCCTTGAGATCTTGTTTTACCATCTTCACTTTTGTTCTGACTTCAGTCACGGGGGCTTGAATATCCGGAAGAAAGCAACAACTCTTGTAATCGCGCGAAAGCTGATAGTAAATGATTTTGGCAATAGTCGTCTTTTCGATGTCACCCGTCCCATAACTTCCGACGATTCGTGTTTGACTTGATTGAGCACCTATCATTTCCATGATTTTATCTCCTGATGATCGACGACACTGACCTAGTAGTCCAGTACTTCTCAATAAGCCTTTTTCATCTTTACTTTTAAGAAAAGTGGAATGGAATATATTCTTGCTTTGCTTTTGTCCTTTTTTGCTATGCGCTCGAGACCTTAATATTTGTCCACCTTCTTTTTAGCATTTCACTTTTGCTCTTCCGCTTTTCGGGACAAGATAGAATATGAAGGGATATCATTGTTCACTTTGAATCTCTTTATTGGCATCAATTATGTGGTCTATGGTCATACAAATCTGACATTTATCAACGACTTCTTTTTTTTTTTTTTGGGTGTGGATTTATCAACGACGTTAGCTTGCAAACACTTGCGCAATTTTGTTCCGAAGGGTAATACTTTTCGAAAAAAAGAAAAAAAAAGATGGAATTGTCCCTCACATTCTTCCTCGTTATTTAACTTAGGGTTAGATTATTTGATGAAAAATCATTGTTCGGAAATTTTTTTCCGTACTTTTCAGTGTTTGAATTACGTAAAACTATGCGATTGATGGAAAACATTAATCATGGGCTAAAAATAATTACCTTAGAGAAAATGACTTGGCAAGAAGGAATCATTTTTCCCGATTTATATCCTAATTTCTTTGTAATCGTTGTTATTTTGATGGATTACAGAATAAAGGAAGACGATATCCGTTTCTTAGTCATTACATGTTACTTTTAACGATACAAGCTGCATTTAGTGGATTCACATATTACCAATTACGATAAAATCAATTTTTTTCAACTTGTTTCCACCATAATCAAAATTTTCTAATTTACATTCTTTGAAATTGAATTTCCTAAAAACCTTTTCCCACGACAATAAAATTCTCAGCGAGATAATCGCATTCTAAAAGTTTGTTGTTATATGATTTTCGATTTATATGATGGTATTTGATCGGAGGAAATCGTAAGACGAAATTATCGATGACCATGAGAATTGAAGATCGATTTGTTGTCGTGTGATGTTTGCGGGTGAATGAGAGAACAAATGAATTAGTGTTGGATTTTACAGAGTGATCTAGTGACTCTTTTTTTTATCTTTTGATGAAATCTCTACGTTTGTGGAAGTCTGACTGTGAGGCACGAAGTATCAAATAAAATGAATCGCTGGTGTGATTCCATCTTGAGCAAGTTGGTTCGTGGACTGTTCGCAGTCCAAGTCTTCGTAGACTTCGACTTTGCCACTCTAGTCCCGTGATGTTTCAGTCTTCTTGCACCAACCGTACGTTGTTCTTTTATTTTTTTTTATTTTTCTTTGGAAAGTGGTAGCTAATGTTAATACGCGTTAAAACGAAGAATGGTTTACTTAGGTTTAGATTGTCGGTGGTTAATACCACAAAAAACTCCAAATTGGTAT